AACCATTTTCTTTTTGATTTTTGTTGTTGTGTGATGGATATGATCTTCATACATGGTGTGTGTATGTCTATATATATATATATATGCACAATAATTATTCAAATTAATATTCTCTTTAAATCTGCATTAATTCAGATGAATTGCATTGGTATTTTCTTAGGAAAGGGGTTCTGTATTCTTTGGTAGCTAAATGAATTTGTTAATTTCTTACATTGAATTTGTTTATTTCATACATCGTATTTGTTTATTTGGTGAGCCTTTTTTCGCTGGAAGTGATATTCCCAAGTAGTTCGAGCATGTCGATCTTGCAGGGTGGCAAAGTCCGTATTCAAGTGCCTCTGGAGATTGGTTGGTTGTAATTTAAACGCCTTGGCTGTGTGCTTCCTTATGTCGCATTCCCCTTCGATTCTGTCAATGTCAAAGACTCCTATACTGTTGGGAACTTCAACATTCAGTTTAGAGCACCTCCTCAACCCAGCTTCTAAACTGCAAGTGGGGAAATGGTTTGAGTTGACTCCCACGTCTGCAGTTCCGGGTTCAAAGCCTGTCACCATTCGCATTGCTCTCACTTCAACTACTCCAATTCCATTGCCATATGCACTGCCCATGGTTCAGACGGTCCGTTCTCAAAGTCTTGCTTTTTTCACTCCCTGGAAGGATACAAATATGAATGACTCATGGAGCTTCGATGTTTATGATCCATAATCAGGATCCTGAAATTGTGCATGACAGGGAGCCAATGGTAGCAGAAACAAGAACGAAACATCTCCCCGGAAAGGATGTAATTGGCATTACTCCCTCAGGTGCAACCCATGTGCTAGCTGAGTTTGTTGGAACTGGATGGTCCTTGATGAACAACGACTGGTTCTTTCAGCTCCGGGATAAGTTTGATGAAGAAGACCCCAGCTTCGAACTCATTGGTAACCGAAGGGTGAGTATCTGCGTTATCTTTGATAGTAAAATGAATTTAGTGAACCGTTATTGAAATTCATATACATTAATCACTAACTCATGAATGTTGGTGGTGCAGGTACTTTCACTTCCAGGCAAAAAACTAGAGTATGAAACTAAGAACTGCTCTAAGCAGAAAAATGAACAGAACTTTATGACAGCTATCGAATTCTCTGCAGAACATCCCTATGGGAAAGCGGTAGCTATGCTCGATTCTAAGGTTGTTTGATGAACAGATCAAGGAAGGGTGGCTGTTACTGCCTGGGATCACCTTGGCTTTTATACTTGCTGATAAGTTGACAAAGGAGGGGTATGGCGGTTTCGATACCAATGTAGAGAGGCAAAAGGAATCGATGGAGAATGATTTGAAGGAAGATCTAGTTCAGTTCAATGAGAAAGGAAAATAGCCAACCAATTCAGTGCCTCGGAGAAATTGGGTCATGGTGTGCTACTGGAGGAGGTGGATGGAAAAGCCAATGGACGGCAGCTATGGTAGTGAAGACCTCCTCCTACACTTGCGTCAGTCTTTAGCAAAAATAATGTTTGTATTTTCACTCTTGAATCTAGTTTCTGTAATGCATATGTATCAGAAAATGACAAGCTTTCAATAAACGATTTCTTCTCCAAGACTTTTATTCTTTGTGTTCTGTTTCTTGTACTCCAAGCTTCCACCATTTTCACATAACTTCCGTCGAATCGGAACCATTAGCCCCCTACCGGAAGGCACATTGTTAATTCCAGTTTCTTGCTCTCAATGTCAGGTTGCAGTCGGGCTTTTTCAACTTTGATGATCAAGACTGCGCTTCCTGTAACCGAACCGAATGCATTTCCTCAGTTTAAAACTTCCTTTTCTAGCATCGGAGTATTGGAATTAAAACGTTGTGACTCAAGTGGTTATAGGTATTTACTCGTGCATGTGAAGTCCTAGATTTGATTCCTCCCACCTTCAGTGTCTATCGTCTCTTTGTTTATGTCCCTTAATTCTTCTTTGATTATTTGATCCTAATGCTAAGAAAACAAAGTGTAATAATTTGTGGACACCAATTTTCTCATCCCACACATCCCTCTTATTTAGCGATTCAATTCAACAAATCAAAAGAAACTCATGCTTATGGGGCGCGTCGAATTGCTGGAAGGCCTTGGTGGAGTCTCCAATTTTGTAATATGAACATAGAAAACCAAAACTTTTCCAAATTCACTTCAATAATCTTGTACCCATGCTGCCCCAACTCCAAACTCGATGTTTGTTAACTAAGCAGCGCATTCCCAAACTCTTTTTATTTATTTATTTTTTTTATTTTTATCAAACAAACTCCTTTTTCGGACCAAAACTGAGACTGACGTAGTAAAATTGCTTACTCAGTGCTTGCACTAAGGAATGATTCGCGATTCAGATTCTTCCTCTCCAGAGCCCTGATCAGTTTTGACTGAAAAGTTTTACCGGAAGAGGTCACTCTGCTTGCCGAGGGGGAAAACACTCTTGTTTTAATACTTAGAAATCACTAGCCAAAACAAAAGGGAGAATATAGGTAAAAAAAAATTAAAATAAAAACCAAAACCAAATTCTCCATCATTTCATTTCCCTTTTTTTTTCTTTTTTTTTTTTTAGAACCATTTCATTTCCCTTTCTTATATTCTTCCGTCCCATCTTTGTTGACCAACTTTTGGATGCAGATACGCACTACTAACTTACATGACAATGTACACTACCACATAATGTCCCATCAAATGTTAATTTTTTGTTGAAAAAATTATATTATTTATATTAAGGAGATGGGCTAGCCATAATAATATGGTTTAAATTCTTCTTTAGCGAGAATCGAACCAAAAGCCTCTCACTTACTAATGAAGAGAAATACTACTACATCGTAGTACTAAGTAGCTCGTCAAATGTTAATTTTAGCTTAAGTCAAAATATTTACAGTTATTTTTTCCTAAACTTAACAACCCAAGCCTTTTTGGTACTTAATATTACGGTCTAATAATATTCCATCACTTGTAAGTGAAAGGTCTTATATTAGATTCTCGCTAAATGCAAAGTTGAACCACCTTATTACTAATCCATTATGAGGGTAAGCCCAACTCTTCCCTTTTATTGTAGATAATACATTTTATTAAAAACAATAATAATAAAACAATCAAACGACCTTTTATTATATCATTTTTACCAAATTTTGGGCTGCTATAAACAAACGAAAGCTCCACATATCTCTGCCCTTGTCTTCAATGTCAATAAAATAAGAACATGTAAAGAAAAAAATATACACATATTTTTATTTTATTGGAACGATACAATACCAATATACTCGTATTATATAAATCAGTCCATCTCATATTAAAGAATCTAGTTCCACATCTAAAATGATAATAATGATGACGAATATAATAATAGTCCACTTGGATAACAAAACAATGGCAGACAGAATCAAAAGTGCAAAAACCAGGCTGGAAAAGAACAACCCAACAACAATTATTTAAAAGAAAAACTAATGAAAGAAATTTGAAAACTTTGAATTTTAATCAAAATGATAAAAATGTATTGTAATTAAATAATACCATGAGTGACTTTTTAGAATAAAAATGTTATTTTCGTTAAAAATGAACAATACCAAAAGTGTTTTGTTAAAACTTTTTACAATAACGTGTAAGTTGCAGCTCCTTTTGGTTGCAATTTGCAACGGAAAGGCCAAAAATAAAGTAGTTACATCCACCACAATGGCAACAACTTGGCTGGTCACGTGAGTGCTATACACGTGCTTGCAAGAATATGCCCGCCACAGCCACCGCGCGACATAAATCATAATCGAGCTACAAATATTAAACTAAACAACAATGCTATTGTCCTTAATCCTTGTATTTTGTCACCATTCTTAATAACCAAATCAACAACTTGTTTCACTCGAAAAGCTAAATCACACAATTCATGTGTTTTTAAGCCTTTACTACACCACTTCCAATTCAAAGACCAACATTAAAAAAAAACAAACACCAATAATTAACTGCATATAAAATATGATGCAGACAGATTCCACCAAACCCACGCCGCACTCTTATCCAACTTCCCATGATCCACACATTATTGTAGTTAATCCATGAAGTCAGCATTCAAATGAAGGATCGAGATCCACTCTGAATCTGTGTCCGGAACAGGCGGATCAAGAATTTCGGACAACTCCATTTCAACCATACGCGCCTTGTTAGCCCATTCCACTGACCCACTTCACAAAAATCTAAAAACTTCATAAACTCTGTATCTCTTTCTCTCTTGAACAGTTCGGATCTCCTCCTCCACGTGCTCCGGACACGGAGATTGGATCTCAATCCTCAACTCAAGACCAACAAACCGAAAACAGACGAAATAAATACACTAAAAAAATTCCTCGGATACACATGATAACCAGGCTGGATAAGAAGAATCAACAATTACTTCATTTGTATTAAGTTAATACATCATAGCACACATTACTGCATTCTATTACAATATAAAGTAGACTAGACCTTACATTAAGTTAATATAAACAAACTATCAAGCGATATCTCGTTTGAGGTCAAAAAATATTTTTGATGCATCCCGCCACATGGTCTACACATATATGCATCATAACCCGAACTACGACAACTCACTTTAACATCTAAAATATTTCCACCATATTTATCCTTGTTCTTGTCACCATTCTTTGTACCCAAAGTAGCAGCGTGGTACTCAAAAAGCTGAATAACAACATTCATGTGTTTGTATTGTTCTACTACCAATTTAAGAGCAATATAGAAAAGAGAGCAAACACAGAAGTTACACCAAAACTGCAGATTAATTATGAACAGATGCCATACGTTCTGAATGACAGTTATATCGATATACTAATCAACTTTTCAGGTAACGAAAGCTGCTAACATATCAGGAGAAAACGCTGCTACAATCTTTATCGAGGCTCTTGTCACGTTTCTGGGTAACTACAGCAGCTACATTTCACGCAAAAGGCTCAATCACAATATCTGTATCAAGTATTTTCAGTGTTTCACTACTACTTTCGATTCAGGAACAACTAAAATCCAAAGAAACCCAATACTTTGCACTAAAACAATTCCTCATATACACAAGAAACAATGTTAATTGTCATACCATCAGAACAATAATAAAGGTTTCCAATTTCAAAACCAGAGACGCATCCACCACAAACCCATACAATTAAATTCTTATTTCTTCTTATTTAAACTGTAGAACCATTAGAAAACAAAAGAACAAACACATTATATATGAATTTTATTATTTATATTTGTCACATAGCAGACGCTTGGGGTGCCATGGAAACAACAACCTTATCATCTTGAATTTGATTCAATACACCAGCAGCAGCTTGTCTCCCATCTACGGGCACCGGAGCAACCGTCTGATATGAAGAAACGACACCTCCTGCTGCAGTGTAGTATACCTGCCTCCCGACGGCGTCATACCCAACCTGTGCAAACCCTTCACTATAAGCTGCAGCCTGCTGTGCCTGCTGAATGTTGTGCCTGCTGAGCTTGTTGTGCTTGCTGTGCTGCCACGGCAGTATTGTACACTTGAGCGTCCCGGTACACCTCTGGTGCCATCCTCTGCGGTACTCCATAGTATGCCTGACCAACTGGACCAGTCGCCGGTCTAGGGGCGGGAGCCTGGTATACACCGGTCGGAGTAGAAATGAGATAAACGGGCTGCTCCGGTCCAGATGGGGCAGTCGTCACCGGATAACCCCCAGTGTTCATGTGCCTCTCTGGCATATACGCAGTTGGAAATGGCACAGGTGGTGGCATTCCCACCGGAGACGACCCTTGCGCCGGTTGAATGTTCTCTGGCAGTTTCTGTGTGTAATAATCGCCGGTGTAACCCATAGGGTTTCCCATTTCGTCGCTTTTCCGGTGATAGATGGTGGTCGGCTCGTGACCAGCAACGATTTGCATCCTCTGCAACTCCTGGATCTGCCTCTGAATCTCCGCCTGAGACATCACCGGTTCTCCGGTGTGGCGATCCCCAGATCCAACCAGAGTGCTTTTCACAAGCAAATCGGGAACCGTCGGCGGAGTGACCGAGTTGGGAAATTTCGCAACCGGCACAGCCGTGTAACCCTTATCGAATCCGAACAGGAAATCGGGGTTTGTCGGCGAGGCCGTGACCGGAGCCGTCGGAGAGGATCCATCGGGAGACCCGATCTGAACCGAATTCAAAGCGTCGACGAACCACTGGCGCTCGGACTTGGTCTCGCTGGAGCCGAAGCTAGCGGAAGTGTTGCTGTCAAGAGGGAAGAGAAAGAGTCGGAGCCTGGCGGGCTTAGCTGAAGCGCGGTAGAGCCGGTCGTACTCGACCATCATGTGGTCGAGGTCCTCGTCGTTGGTGACGGAGATGAGAGCGTCGAGATCTTCGCCGGGGAGCTGGTACTTGAAACAAACGGCATCGTTAGAGGTGTCGCAAAGGGAGGAGAGCTTGGAGATGAAAGCGGAGAGCTTGATATTGCGATCGACTGTGAGGATTTTGGTGTCACCGCCGACGTAGGCGAGCTGGTGGTCGTGGGGGCGGGGCTGGATTTTGCCGCCGTAGCTGCACATGAACTTGACTTTGTAGGTGGAGGTGGCGGAGGGGGCTTGGTCGTCCCATGAAGGGGTGTCGCAGTCGATTTCACGGGAGCGAGGGGAGGAGTCGCGGGAGTCCGGGTAGGAGTGGTTGGAGTAGTTCTCCATCGGAAAGTGAGAAAGGAGGGAGAACACGGAGGAGCGAGGAAATCAAATTAGGGTTGGGGATTAAGGAGCCATTGGAAATGGAAAGGGTTAGGGTTTTTGGTGGGGGATTTTGGATTCGGTGGGAAGTAATGAGAAAAAAATGGAAAGAATTTTCTTTTCGGGCGTGATTTGGTTGGTTTACGTAGAGGTGAGAATTTGTCTTTTAATTTTCACAATACAATTCTTGATTTTTTTATTTTTTTATTTTTTTATTTTTTTTGGAAACACAAGATTAGGACACTGATTCTTTTTTTTTTAATTTGGAAAATTTGCGAGATCCATTTTGGAGGTGTGTACAAATAAACTCGTAAACATATTGAGTTCGAATTCGTATTCGAGGGAAATCGAACTTAACATTTTTTTATTTTTAGGTATAAATAATATCGTTTGTTACAAAAAAAAAAAAGGAAACAAATTAGTCTTAAATCGTATTCAAATTCATTTATGATTGAATTATTCGGATCACTTATTTGATTATCCATATCCAATAAACATTATGTTACTCGAATTGTATGGATTTCAAGACTACAAATAGCGCTCGGCAAATTACATGAGCTCTCTATTTTCTCAGTCGTTCGACCCCCTTGCATAAGGTTCTTACCCCTTTATATAGGCTGTTAGTGGACTTCCAAGCCTTGGGTTTCCCCAATCTGGCATTTAATATGCCACCTATGTAGAGTAGAGTACTAACACATTTTCACCTATTCAAAGGATATTCAGCAATGAAATGACATATGCTCAGTCGAGTTGGCACCCATTTTCATAGTGATGCAGCCAAGCAACTTGCTCAGTTTTAGTTATCAAACCCTGCCTTTTCGAGCAACACACAACCACTTTTGCGTCCCATCATAGGCCTCTGCTTCTGATTGCGAGTTGCCCACGGGCCTGATTGACGTCTGAGTAGACTGGCTCCTGAAACATTGCACTATAAAGTTATCAGGTTTGCCACGTGCCTCTGCCGGTCGGAAAGCACTTTACATAATCTAGTTGGGTTGAGCTAGTCAATGGTCGATTCTTAGCGCACGAAAGTATTATCTTCTAAAGGTGTGTTTGTTGCACCGGATTATCTCGGACTGGACTAGTTTCAGGCATGGAATTAAATATCGATAATATCGGCGATATTTCGCCGATATTATCGTTTTTCTGAGGTTCCGATATTTTCTGAGGTATCCGTCTCATTATCGTCAAAATATCGCGATATTATCGATAATATCGATAATATCGCGATATTTTCGATATTATCGAAAAAATCGTCGTTGATCCGTCGTCGGAAAGGCAGCCGAGGCTGCGTCGTCCCCCCAGCTGCCCAGATCTCTCTGCAATCCATGCTCAAACCCAAGATCTGCGCCTCAACGACGCCGATCTGGCTGATCTCAGTGACGATGGTGACGAAGCCGAAGGAGGAAGAGGAAGAGGGGAGGCGGCGGAGGGAGAATGAGTAGGAGGAAACGAAGAGGGATCTGGCTGATCTTGGGTTGAAGCAGATGCGGAACAGAGACGGAGGCGAGCGCGGCGCCGGCGGGGCAGGCTCCGGGGGGAGGAGGAGAATGGGTGCCGATGTTCGCTTCTCGCTGGCATCGTGGTGGTGAGGGTGTGGGACGAAGCCGTCGTCGAAGCGGGTGGGGTGTATTCCTGAAGCATGTGTGAATCTCGGACTCTCGGACTCTCGGTGCAGACTGCAGAGAGAAAGGACGGAGAGAGATGAGAGTTTTGAGAGTCTCTGTGCGTGTGGTGGTGCTGTTGCGCCGTCGTCGGGGTGGCTCTGGTACCTCGGTGTGTGGGTGTGGGTTCGATCGGCGAGAGAGAGATGTGAGTTAGCTGAGACTTGAGAGAGAGAAATGAGAGTTGGTACGGGGAGAAGAGAGAGATAGGTGAGTGCTTGCCACGTGGCAAGCACTGATAGGAGGACAGGTTTAGAAAATCTGAAAAGGAGATTTTGATTGGATGAAGATATGGGACTAAAATGCAAAATTTAATAAACCTTTTGGGGGAAAAAATGCGAATTTACAAAATCTTTTGGGTGTGTTTAAACTTCTTTCATTAATTACTACATATTTTCTATATTCACAATGTTTGTCAGCTCGCTATATAATCAACTTGATAATGTTAAATCCATCATGCAATGCATTTCCTTCCAATTTTTTGTGATAAACTAATAGATAATTGACTAAATAAACATCTTGCAAAGTTTCAATTAAAATTTCCAAGTTTTTCTTACAATTTCCGTGGTTTCCATGTAATTTTTATCGATATCGATATTTTACCGATATTTCCATCGATATTTCCATGTTTCGGACTACCGATATTTCCGATATTACCGATATTTTCTTCCTTGGTTTCAGGGACTAAGTTAGACTGGCTTAGACTACACTAAGCTGGACTGACTTAGTGAAGCGTTTAATGCAGTGTCGGACCATCAACTAGAATAATAACAAAAAAAAAATCTATTTTTTTCTTTTTCTAGAACTCTCTGTCACTCTCCTAATGCTTTCTCTCTCTTTCTCTTGTCTTCCTGTTGAACTCCCTCTCTATCTATCTCTCTAACTTTCTTCCTCATTAATAAAGTCCATTCATTTTCATTCATTCTCATAAAAAATCCTCTGTATTTTTCCACAATCTTCCCTTTGTAGTGGAAACTTCAGGATCTCTCCAAATGATTCAAAATCATATTTTGGTTGGGTTTTTGTCATCTGGATTTCTCAGAGCTTTTTTTTCATCTGGGTTTGGCAATTCGAGCATTTTGGATGCTGAAATTGCAAACCAGAAGCATGTTTGATGCAATTCGAGCATTTTTTAAGAATATAACTTCGGTTTTGTCATCTGAGTTTTATCAGATACGGTATCAAAAATCAAATAGTTGTCATCTTCCTAGGCCCCAAATCCGTTAGCGTGAAAATCAAGGCTTTAATGGCGGAGTTGTTGAGCTAACCAGATGCAGAGGAAGCAGGTCTTAGCAATCCGGATGTTTTTGGGGGGTCTCGCTAATACCACCTAACGAGGGTGTTAGTCGAGGCGAGTCCCTCGTAGTACCATTAAAAGTAGTCCCTGCTTGGAACAAACATTGGACTACACTAAGAGTTAGTCCAGTCCAGTCCAGTGAACTTTAGTGAGGGAAAACAAACACCCCCTAAATCTTTGGGACCTTGGACTTTGACTTTACCTTGGGCTTTTTGTGGCTTCTTACCCGCCCTGCACCATTTTATGGGCCTAAAAGTTTCCAAAATAACAAAGTTCAAGAAAAGAAGGGATTATCGAAATCAATTTCTTTTGACAATTAACCACCCAAAATGAGGTTTTTTTTTTTTTTGAACAAACGATATTATCTACAATAAGGGGTGGGAGAGTGGGCTAAGCCTTACAATGAACTATTAATAATGTGGTTCAAATTCCCAAAATGGAGAATTTTTGTCAAACGTAGTGTGTATCACGTGTGCTCCGTCATCGGGGCATTAAAACATTCTAGCATTGAACTCTCTAAAATTCTACAAAACGGCTATCATTTAACTCTTTTCTTTTCCACAAAAGTATATCATTATAAGTTCAACTATTTTCTTTTCCACACCACTTAATACTACGCTATAGTGGTATTCCTATTCATTTGTAAGCGATAGGTCTTAGGTTTGATTCTTGCCAAAAACAAATTTGAACCAAATCATTGCTAGTCCATTATGAAGCTCAATCCACTCACCCACCTTGTAGGGTAGATAATATCGTTTGTTAAAAAAAAAAAACTTTTTTGTTTTCCACAAAAGTTTATCATTAAAGTTTATAGTATTTTATAGAGTCTATAGTAGGAAGAAACTAGGTTTTCATCCCTCAGTTTTCTATTTCATTAATTGGAACCTTATTCATTTTCCATTTTTTTATTAAGGTCCCTTGACTTTTATCCACACAATTATTCCAATAATAAAAGATTTACATGTCAGCATATTTTATATTTTATATTTTATAATTAAAAATTATTTAACCATTTCAATTATATCCATTTATTGTTAGAACGTTACATTTGATATATTTATGGCTAAATTGTGTACATATATTTCTGTTTTTAATTGTACCCATTTTAATTTGTAACAATTTTTTAATCTGTACCAATTTCGTTTTTAGTTTTAACTTGTACCCACATATTTAATTTCTTTTGTGCCCATATTTTAAACTTTTATTTGTACCCATACATAATTTTTTTTTATACCAATAAATTATAATGTATCCATTGGTCCCATTCATATATCTATATTGTACCCATATTTCATAAAATAATGAATCACTTTTTTTGGTAAAATGTATTTTTTTTTTATGAAAAATCTATTCACTTATTTTATCGATTAAATACATATATTTTGTAATAAAAATGTACCCTTTTTTAATTTAAAGCGTACCCATTTTAATTTAAACGTATCATATTTAAAAACAAAAAAAAATATTTTATTTTAAAATATAAAAAAATGGAAGCTATATATAGAGGTAACAATTTTTACTATATTTCAAGGAACTCCACTAGTTTCTAACCATGTCAAGGAGAGACAAAAGTATCAAAACAATTAAAGCCATACCAAAAAATGTGAAAACAATGTTTTAAAATACCAACCATACCCCTAAGATTTTAGGCTTTTAATAGAACCCAGCCTTCACAACTCCAACAAAATTAATATGTGCCATAAGCTTAACCAATCCTCGACTATTGATGCAGGACAAGTTTTGAAACTATAAGTAGTTTGAGTTTAGTTCATTTATTACTATAATCAGTTCAATCAGTCCTGAACCATTTTTGCAGAATCAGTTCAACCTGTCTTCAACAATTATTGCAGAATCAGTTCAACCAGTCCTTGACCATACCATTTTTGCAGAATTAGTTCAATCCGTCTTCGACCATTGTTGTAGAATCAGTTCAACCCATCATCGATCATTTGCAATATCAGAACAACTTATCTTCGACCATTTTTGCAGAATCAGTTCAACCCATCCTCGACATTTTTTGCAGAATTAGTTCAACCTGTCTTCGATCATATTTGCATAATCAATTTAACCTGTCATCGACCATTGTTGCAGAACCAGTTCAAATTGTCTTCGACCATTTTTGCAGAATCAATTTCAAATACATGTAAAATTAGTTTTGTATACTTTTTTTACTTAAAATATATATATATATA